CAGGTGTGCTGTCCCATAACTGCAGCACTGGGACAGTGGAGACAAGCAGCTCCCTGGGTCTCAGTGAAAGACCTTGACTCAGAAAACAAGTACAGGGCTAAAGAGATGGGAAAGTGAGAAAGGAACCAGGGAACATGGGTATTTGGACTCACACCACTGAGGAAGGAACAGACTCCTTAAGGTAGACATGTGTTGCAGCTCTGTTATAAGAAATGCATTTGTCAAGCATGGTGGTGCATTTTGTGTGGGCACAATCACACAGAGAAAATATTACCCAATCTGGGAGATCATTTTAGGATCAGGAATTGTACTTAGAATATGAATGAGCTGATCAAGAAAATTGTAGCTGTGTTGGTTCTTAACAATATGACCCATTCCTGGCTAGAAACAATTACACCATCACTGGGGGACAGCTCTAGAATGTTTTTAAAATCCTTGCCATTTCTAGTTCAGCCGCAGGAATCATGCTTTTTTGTACTTGTAAATTGATATTAAATGGAGGAGATAGGTGCACTGAAAGCACATCTAGCATGAGTGAAATTGATTCCACTATAAAAGGTATATGTTTTTTTCATTGCAGAGTTGGTCAGGCGTCATGCTGGTGTGCTTGGACTTGGTGCATGTGTTCTTTCTAGCCCTTATGATGTTCCCACCTGGATGCCCCAGCTCCTTATGAATCTCAGTGCACATTTGAATGATCCCCAGCCTATTGAGGTATGTTCTGTATGGTCCAGAGAATGATCTGTGATAGCTATAATTTCAGTTTTGTATGAGTGAGTTTAAGTACACAGTAAGCAAAAGTAAAAGAATAAATAGCAAATACCACCGAGTTTGGAGGGTAAGCACTTCTAGCAGAAATCAACTGGTGAAGCACCTTTAAGACAGCTGGAGTTCCCAGTAAAGAAAGTCTCAGGAGAGCAGAGTAGGTCCTCTGGTGAAGCCTCCAAGTAAAAGAACAAATAGCAGATAGAGATAAATGGTCAAAAACAGCAGAAAGTTACCTTGAGACAGTAGCTAGAGTTCACAGTTGAGCTGAACTTGCCAGTTTTCCCACTGCAGGTGCTTTTACATCTGGGATAAACAATAGCAGCCTCTGCTGGGAGTGGTTTGTCTTCTAGATGTCCTCCAACATGGCTTCACTCTCGAGCTGACTTGCTGCTCTCCTGCCACAGAGTTAAAGGCGCGAAACAATTCCCAGACAAGGGGCCTTAGAGAATACAACATACACATGCTTGGGGCCAATTCCACTTCCAGATCCAGCTTCTTAGTGAACTGAACAGCACACCACAGTTTACCAAAATAATGTACATCCCAAAGTATAATGCTTCCTTGTTAGTTTATTTGTATCACTTGATAAATATTTCCTTGCACGTTTTGAATGTACTGCTTTATAAAGCTACTGCCTCAGCTGGGCAGTGGTAGTGCGGGTCTTTAATCCTAGCACTCAGGAGACAGGCGCAGGTGGATCTCTGAGTTCAAGGCCGGCCTGGTCTATAGAGCTAGTTCCAGGACCTCTGCAGCTACACAGAGAAAACCCTGTCTTGAAGAAACATAAAACAAAACAAACAAACAAAAAAAGACTGCTGTCTCTGATAGGGTCACATTTACTCTGTAATTATTAAAGCCTTGCAGAGACATGTTTCCCATCTATAACAAAATAAAGTTACTGTAGCTTTTATCCTTTCTAAACCAACATTAAGAGCACTGTTAGCATTAGTTACAAAGTTAGGTTTCATGTTATTGTTATTCTGGCATGTTGTATCTGGAAAGTCTCTCATCTCAATGAAGGCTAATGTTAAACTAGAAATAGTCTTGAGCACCCATGCTCCTAAGCTAAGCAGGTCACTTTGTAAGTACGGTATGTATTGAAATGTGGAAGTATATTGCAGTGCCTTGTCCCGATGTGAAGCTAGTAATTCTGCAGATGATTAGTGGTTTGGAGACAGAAAATTGACTTGCTTTCCTAACATCGTAGCATTTGCAGTGTGAGGGGTGAGGTCTACGTGGATTATAATGTAGCTGAAGATAACCAGCATTTAACTCTGGTTGTTAGAGGTTAAAACGTGCATGGGTTCATTACAGATGACTGTAAAGAAGACCTTATCCAATTTCCGAAGGACGCACCATGACAACTGGCAAGAACACAAGCAGCAGTTCACTGACGACCAGCTGCTTGTTCTCACTGACCTGCTTGTGTCACCATGCTATTATGCATAGAGAGGTGAGTTACACGTGCCATCCCGTTGATGGCGGAGAAGGAGTGTCTACAAGGTTGTAAACCTTGCTGCCATTTTAGATGTAACTGCTTAGGTAAAGTGGAGAGACTTGTTTGTTTTGACTTTTTAAGACAGGGATAGCTGTGTAGACAGGCTAACTTTGCATCGAGAGTTCCCCACCTTAGCTTCATGGTACTAGCTTTGCAGTTGTGTGCCAGCACTGACTGCTTGTGAACATGGCTTCTGAGGTGCGGAGATAGACAGTTCAGAGACAGAGCCCAAATTTAGCACAGATGAGACCCTGGGTTCAGTTCCCAAAACTGAGGTAAACAATGATGGCCTGTGCCTTTAACCTCGGGATTTTATTGGGTGGGCTGGTTGGTTGATTCTTGTGACAGTGCCTCTCTGGAACTGGAAGCCCTCCTGCCTGTGCAGCCATTCTGGGTATTTGTTTCTATATTCCACTAATCTCAGAGTTTAAAACCAGCCCTGGGTTACAGACTGATATTCTGTCTCAATAAACAAAGTAAGTGTGTCTTTTGCTGTGGTCAGTAGAAATAAGTCCCATAGAATTTTTCAGGATTTTGTTTCCATTTTTAGACAGGCAGTTTATGTGTCTGCTTTAGGACAGTTAGAAAACAAGTAAGCTGCATTAGCAGCCTGAGATAGTCAGGGTGAAAGAAAATAAACCATAGTCCAGATTGCTTCCTGAGTGAGACATTTGGGTTGTAGTGGGAGCTCTGCACTCTCCAGTCATGAAAACTCTTCATCTGGATTTACTGTGAGCGTGTGCGTGCTGTGCTCATTGGGTCAGGAGAGGGAACTGAGGTGCAGACAGTTGTAAGTGTGATCACTGGGGATAGGTGCAAGTGCTCTAGCCCATCATCTGTGTTCTTTTTTGTTTGTCTGGTTTTTGCTTTTTATTTTTAAAAAGAGTCTTTGTAGCCCTGGCTATCCTAGAATTCATTATGTTGATCAGGTGGCCTCAAGCTCATTCTGCTTCTCCCCCTTCCAGAGTGGTGGTATTAAAAACAATACTCACGTGTACAACTCATCTACAGTCAAAAATGGGCTATTACCCTCTGGAAGGAGGGAGCCAGCAAGTCTTTGTGTAGAGAAGGGTTGGGGAAATGAAGAAAATCTATGTGGTGGGATTTTAGAATTGAGTGCTTTATTACCTAACAGATTTTTTTTTCTCCTTAATGCAGATGGCCAGTCCTGATTTTGGGCTCAATTCATCAAAAATTCCAGCTCCTCAGGTACCATCTGTGGTTGGCTCTCTGCAGGTCTCACAACTCAGCCTCAGTTGAGCTCTCGTCATTTTAGCGGCTTCTTCGCTCACAGGTTCTCAACTGCCATTTGATTTCCCAAAACTTGTCTTGAAGTGTTCTCAGAATACTGATCACTTTTTTTTCTTTGAGGTCTCAGACTAGAAATAATTCAATATGATCATGGCATCATGACCAAACAGCCTAGAAGCTTGTTAAAAAACAAAACAATTCCCCTTAGAATGGAGACTACTTACCAGTAGTAATGTCGGTCCTGTCATTTCATTCATTTCAAATTATTTTGAATTCTTCCTCAAAGGCAATTGGGTTTACTGGTAGTAGGTCATGGGCCATGAATCTGAAGTCTGGACAGCCTTGTGTCTGGAGAGCCATGAAGAGAAAAGGATCAAAGGGGGCAAGTCTCAGAATCAACTTGTGACCTGACAGATTGTTTGACCACATTGCAGAAGTCAGTGTCTGTGTCTCCACAGACTGGAGTTTTTGGTGCTGAATAAGAGCCAATTGCTGAAAAACTGGGGTTTGATGAATAAATTTTAAACTGATTTGTATGTGTATACAATGTGTGATTTTAAAAATAAAGAACAACATCAATAAACACCTTGGCTGGTTGCTTTTTGCCCTAGTCCTCACAAATACTGTTTTGCACCTCACCTTGAAATGTGTTGCACTTCATATAAATGGACTATTGCTGTGTTTATGGAAATTTTCTTTTAATCTTTCTCTCTCTCACACTCCTTCCTCCTCACTCGCCCCTTTTCTCTCCTCACCCTGCCTGCTTACAGAATCATTGAAACTAATAAGACTTGGTATTTGACTTGTTTAGTGTGTTACATAGATGTAAAAGATTGTATAAGCCATAGAGATAACATTGGCAAGACTTTGTACAGATGCAGCCGATAACACGAACCATTATGTGACTGGTTTGTAAAGATTCACACACAACTTTTTACTATGGCACTTTGTACCTCCAGAATACCATTTTTTGATGTGCGTTTTAAAATTATTTTATCTTCTCATGTTACAAAAGCTGAACTGTGGGATTTAAGTTTATTTAATATTAGAATATCTGGATTTTTATGTACTTTTTTTGCGTGTATCTCTAAATGGTAACATGTTTGCCCTGTCACAACTTTATAAAGTGCAAGGTATGTTGTAGGAGGAAGAGCTGACGAATGTCATCTTGTGACACACCCTTAAAGGAGCACTACAGTATATTTTTTAGTGTCTACATGCTGAGCATCCCAACACAGCAGTGGTCTTGGTACAGTATTGAAGTGTTAGCATACACAGGCATAATCCCTGTATAGAGTAGTGCCTAACTGACTATTTCAATTGTGTAACTAGTTTAAATCCCAATAAAAAGGATTGTTTTTAATGCCTGACTTTTTTTCTTCATTAAGAGAAGACAGTTTTGTAGGCAGCAACTTTTGTGGATTACTTGCCTTCTTGGGTTTAGATCTGTGAATTTCTTCCCTTTGGCCAGAATGAATGTAACTCTGCCCTGTTGAGTGTAATAGCAGGCTCAGTGGGCATGCTCTACGTCCTCATTAGCCACGTGACTAGTGACTAGCACATTACTAGGACAGCTGAAGGCTTTGAATTGTTGCCCACTTCAGCCTTTTCTCTTTTTTCCTAGTTTGTTTATTAGTTTTATTATGGAATTTTTATTCCTCCCAAAGGAGAATACTCCAGCATTTTCTAACTAAGCTACATAAAAATATGCTTTTGCAATGGCTCCTAAGTGGAAATTTAAAAAAAATAAAAAAAGATGAAGTACTTGGTAGTCAGCATGTTCCTTAGTTAAAATTTTGCTGGGTGACATTCTAATTGGTTTCACCAACATCTTTTTGAAGTGCCAGGGTGTGACACTACCAGAAATCAAAGCATTCTGGATCCTGAGCCAGAAGACTACAGAGTAAGAGCTTTTAAAATCTCAAAAAAGCTCCGTATTGGTTTAGTCTATCAGTGACGATCTGGATTCCACTCAATTGAAAAGCAGAGTCCCTTAGTCTGAGTGCCCAGCATGCTCCCTGGTAACTACAATACCAGGTTTGTTGCTTATTGGCTTGACATTTCCCCCAGATTATGCTTGAATTTTGAAATTAAATGTTCTATCATTACATGATTAATTTTGTACAAGTGGACCCAAGTTAGGGGCAGAGAAAAGAACAAGATGGCTAATACTATCTAATGCAGCTCTTAGAATATGTGATTCATTCAGAAGGTGGAGATAGAGGATCAGGAACTATGTCAGTAAGGCACAAGCTGGCAGGGATCAGAGAGGCAAACAGGTTTAGAAAGCCATTGTTGGTTGGATTGGAAAGAGCGTAGGTTTCTGTGAACTATGAGTAAGGAAAGGAGAAAATATATGGATTTGTAAGATCAAATCTTTTAGTTTCTGAAGGGATCCTTTGAAAAAGAATGACTGCAGATCATATTTAGGATGTTTTCTTCACTATTAATGTTCAGAGAGTTGGGCCTGCCTAACACAGCAGAGTCCCTGAGTCCAACCCCAGCACTTGGGCGTGGGGGTTACCTTTGTAGATTTCTGTGGTGTTCTGAGTATTGCTCCACTGTTGAATATCACAGTAGTTTTCCATTTGCTGTACTTCAGAGTACGCTGCAGTGCCTCTCCACACCGCACATTTTAAAGCTTTTCTTATATTGGAGCATCCAAGGAATAAGATATTTTACCACTGTGCCCAGAGAATGTGAACATTTTATTGGCCTTGATATGTGCTTTCCCAAAATTGACATGGTAATGCATGTCAACTGGTTTGAGCTGGAATGCTAGTCTTGTTACTGTATTGTCAGCCCTGGTAGTTTGCAGATTTTCTTTTGTATTATTAGTATACCAGTATTCTTCATCCAGTTTATCCACCTTACTGCTATATTTTATGAACATACTATGTTGTATTTCTGAGTAACTCCACATAGCTCTAGAACCATGTGCCCCAATGCCTTCTTTTCCTAGAGCTCTGGGTCCTATGCAGTGGAGATTGTGTCGTTTTCAATACAAGGTACCACTGATGGCTCCAGTCCAACCTCAGCGCTTTGTTACCACTGACGGCTAAATGGAGATCATGCACAAAGTGGTCCATTTATGTGGAGAGACATGTAATTCGGGTCAGGATTTCTGCTCTGACTTCTAATTAGCTTTTTTTTCCTCTCTCAGTTGTTTCTAGTGCCCAGTGTTGCCCTTACTGATAACATGTTTTAGAGGTAATAGGTTGTGAAGTGTCTGGGGAGTAGAACATGATTTATGTGAAAATTAGTTGAATTTTTCTTGAATATTCTTTTTCTAAACAGAATTCTGAAATTGCACAAAGCCCTCCAGCATGTTAGCAAACAGTAGAGGGAAAATTAAGTTTCTTTGAATCTTGTTACTAGTTTGTATTTCTACAAAAACTGAACAGAAAATGGAGGGAGGTTGTAGTAGCAACAGTGCCAGAAAATATTTCACCTGGATGGAGTCAAGGTTTCTTATTTCTCTATTTCTAAATAGCAGATAAGACTAGAAAAGTAGAAGAGCCCAAGGCAGTAATCCTGAAGGAATGAATGAGATGTTTTGTGCCCATAATAACAAACTAAGGAGTGTGTTGTTTGGTGACTTGGCTAATATTAAAGCCAAACTGAGTTTGTTACTTTAGACATGTCGGCTATAGGAGATGAGAAGCTACTAGTCTAATTTTTTGTTGTTGTTTGTTAAAATAGGTAGGCCTAGCTGAATTGCACAATTGCTTTTCAAGATTTTCACACTCAACACAATTTAATTAATAGCTTCTGTTTTCTGTTTTACTTTGCATCCATCCTTCCTTACTATATCTAAGACACATAACGTGTGTTGAAATTGATATAAATTGTTATAATGACTTGGCAGCCTAGTGAGAAAGCCAAGGCCACAGGCACTCTGAGCTGCCTAGGGAGGCCCATAGCCATTCATCTCAGACTCTCCATCGCCACCTAAGGCAAGGCCTTACCTCAGGGTTGCACGGTGCCTGGCGTCTCTGCCTTAACTGTCTCCCTTGCTGTATGTATCACAGTCAGTCTCAGGCAGCCCCGGGGTCCGGGCGCACGCCCACGAGGCTGAAGCTGGCTCTGCGCACTTCACAGTCCGGGCGGCCCGCTGGCAGGGAGGGTGCGGGCAGGCGGGGCGGCCAGGGTTGGAGGGAGGGGCCGCGCCCCATGTTCGGCTGGTGACTGCGCCTTCCGCCCCGGCTCGCCTAGGCTCCCGGGATGCGCGGAGGTGGAGGCGGCGATGGCGACGATTCCTCTAGCCGGGCAGCATTCAGGCCGCTGGGCGCAGCTGGGGTCGCGGCTGCAACATGGAGGAGGAAGGGCTGCGCTGCGGTCAGCGGGCAGGTGAGAGGCCGCGGGCCCAGACCAGAGGGACTCTGAGGCAGGAGGGAGCGGGGAGCAAGCAGAGCTTGGCCTGACAGGATGCGCACCTGTGTTAGCATGCAGCCTGCAGGAAGCTCCTAGGCTCTAAATTGATGAACCACAACCCACCACCACAAGCCTGAGTCCAAGCATCCCTGGAGAGGCCTAGGCCCGTCTTTCCTTCAATTCTAGAGAGCCCCCACCCATTGCCAATCACTGGTGGATGTAAATCTGCAATCTCCCAGTCCATTGTGCTGCTCAACCACCTCATCAATCAAGCAGAGACTCAGGTCTTCCCACCCCACCAGCTATTGGCAATCTCAAGGGGGTAGTTTAGCTGGCTAGAAAGAATGGGAGATTTGAAATATCTTACTGACCTTGGGCAAGTTATCTAGCCACTCTGAGGTTTCCCCAGATCCTTTCAAATCTGTGGGAACGGAACAGAACTTTGTTCTGTGTGATGGTTAGGCTCAAAAAAAAAAAAAAAAAAAAAAAAAAAAAAAAAAAAAAAAAAAAAAAAAAAAAAAAAAAAAAAAAAAAAAAAAAAAAAAAAAAAAAAAAAAAAAAAAAGCCTGCCATGAAGAAACGACACTTACTGGGGTGGGATAAATTAGAATAACCCAATAAGTCATGTGGTAGCTTGTAAGGCTTATAAATGTCCAAACGTTTGCTTCAAAAATAAAAACATCAAGGTATTAGGAACACATCACACAGGGATCTTAATATGTAGCCCAGGGTGACCTTGCCTCCGCCTCATGAGTGCTTGGGATTACAGGCTGTATCACCACATCCAGCTTTTCAAACATCTTGTTCTGTTGGTTTTGCAACAAGAGTTGCTGCATATGTAACCTTGGTTGGCCTGGAGCTTGCTACTTAGACCAGCCTGGTCTCCCTACCACAGAGATCTATCTGCTTCTGCCTCCTGAGCACTGGAATTCAAATCCTGTGCCACACCCAAATTTTACTAAGGGTTGACACTATGCAGTGTTTGGAGTTCCTGGTTCTTCTAGTTACTTCAGCGTCCCTCAACTGTAATCAGATGCATGTGATTACCATGCACCATATGTGTGTAATCTAGACTAGAAACTTGCTGTATAATCCTGGCTGACTTTTGAGTTCATGATTCTCTTGGCCCAGCCTCCCCAGATGTGTGCCACTACACTCTGCTTATTCTGTCTTACTGTCGTTAATATATTTGCTTAAAACTGGTGTTCTGGGCTGGTGAGATGGCTAATCCTGAAGGCTCACATGATGGAAGCAGAGACCCAACTTCCACAAATTATCCTCAGAACTCTACATGCGTGCCTGTCTTAGTTAGACTTTCTCTGCTATGATAAAGCACTGACCAAAGCCACTTGGGGAGAAAAAGGCTTGTTTTATTTTAGAGCTAGTAGTGCAGCACACAAAGGGCAGGAACTCGAGGCAGGAACTGATGCAGATGCTTTGGAGGATTGTTGTTTATTGGCTTTTTTCATGTCTTACTTAGCCTGTACCCAGAAACACCACAGCCCACATCATTATCAGTTAAGAAAATTCACCACAGCCAGGCAGCGGTGGTGCTCACTTTTAATCCCAATACTTGGGAGGCAGAGACAAGCGGATCTCCAGAGTTACAGAAAAACCCAGTCTTGACAAACCAAACAAGGAGAGGAGAGGAGGGGAGGGGAGGAGAGGGGAGGGGAGGGGAGGGGAGGAGAGGAAGCTTGTCCACAGTTGAGGCTCCTCCTTTCAAAATGACCCTAGATGTGTTGACTTGACATAGAACTAAGTAAGCACAGTGCAACAGTAAATGCACATGCTAAAATAGATAAACACAATAAATATAATTAAAACTGGTTTTATAACTTAAAATCGTTCTGATACAGCTTATTGGAAATAATATTTAATGTTTAGGAATAGTTAACCAGTATTGACTTTGTCCCAAAACATTGAACACAACACACAAGATTTTATATATATGTGTATATATATATATATATATATATATATATATATATATATATAGTCATTTTTTTTTGAGACAGGGTTTTCTCTGTGTCAGAGTCCTAACTTTCCTGAAACTCGCTCTGTAGACCAGCGCTCACAGAGATCCACCTGTCTCTGCCTCCTGAGTGCTGGGATTAAAGGCGTGTGCCACCACCACCATCTGGTTTATGTTTTTGTTTTGTTCTTAATTTCCTCTTAAAGTTCCAAGAGTTAGTACTCTGCTCTGGTTTGACTTTCTCTCCTGTTCTTTTATTGGTTTTGAAGTTTTGTGTTCCAAGAACTTTTACTTGGGAACAAATTTTAATACTTAATAGTATTGTTTTGAGAGTTAAGTGAAGTTTGATATCTTATATAAAGCTTCAAGTATGAGAGCATAGGATGTAACAGTCTTAATGAGGGGCACAATGGTTGGTCACACGGCTCTCCCCAAACTGATCTGATTCTCACTGCCAAGGCTGTACTTGTTGTGGTTAAATGCTGAAAGGCTACTATTGTAGGCAGTCCATAGCTATTGCTTGGAGCCCCAGTAATCCCTCATTAACTGGACTCAGTCTGCACCCCATGGTCCAGCAGCTAAAGGGTTGGCACTGGAGACCTCTGGGTTCCAGCTCAAGCTGGTGGTTAAATATTCTGAGGATAGGCTCTGGACCTCCCTAGTGTCGTGGCTTATTCCTGCAGTGTTAAATTAAAGCAAATGTTTTCCAGTTGTCAAGTGTAGAGCACTAAATGTTATCTGTCTTTCTGGAGTCCTGTTTGGGAGAGGATGGACAGCAGACCACACACATCTGTAGGGTTGAGAACAGTGAAGATTGGTGTGGGTATTACATTTTCCTTTCATAAGAGAGAAAAATGGCCAGCCCGAGCCTCTTTTCTGTCTCTCCCACGAAGAGGCAGCTTCTGCCTCACTCCATTCTCCCCTTCCCCGTTCTCTCTCTGTCTCTCTCATTTCTGTTTCTCTCTGCTCTTCCCCCTTCTCCCCTCACCCCCTCTCCCTTTCTCTTCCATAAACCATTAAATAAATATCCAACCTCAAGAGAAGGGGGGAGGATTGTGGAAAGAAATAAAGAGCAAGAAGGTTATTCTTTGAATGTACCAAGTGCTTCTTCATCATCTTTGTGTAATTAGCAACTCACACAATACTGTGGTTAATATAGTTGTTAATGAATACAGAATTCATACCTCCTATTTAATGTGAGGATATTCCTGTTGTAATAATAACTAGCACTTAGAGTTTATATAATGCTTCTTAAAAGTTTTATTTTTAAGGTATGTGTATATGTGGGGGGGGTGCATGTATGAATGTAAATGTCTCTGAAGTCCAGGAAAAGGCGTCTGATTCTCTGGAGTTGGATCATCCAGCCTGGATCCTAGAACTGGAACCTAGGTTCTCTGCAAGAGCAATACATACTTTTAACCACTAAGCCTTCTCTCTAGCCCTCATAGTGGTATGGTGTGTGTTTGTGTGTGTGTGTGTGCATGCGTGCGCATGGGCATGTTTGCTAGTGATCAAACACGAAACCTCCTATATGCTAGACAGGTATAGTGCCATTGTGCTACATCTTCAGACTCCAAAGCGTTGCTTTGCACCTTGGAAATTACAAATATAATCTCAGACACCTTTTGTTACTTTAATTTTTTTCTTCTTCTCTCAAATGTAGTCAGGACTTTTCTTTTTCAAAGGAGGGTTTTCAATTGACTAAGAACTTAACTCTCAAACTAGGAAAAAAAATGCTGAGAAATAGAGCTTTCTCCTTAGAGAAAATAATGGGATTTGTTATTGATTTATAAGCGTTTATTGAAGGGTCACATCATGTGTGAACAATACCCTCCTGCTTGTATTCCAAGCACAGCCTGCTGCTTGCTCAGTCCTGCTGCTGCAGAGACCTACTCTCTGCTTCCCAAGTTGTTCATTCTCCCTGCCCATCACCTTTCACCCAGCTGGCTTCTCCTCACCAAAGCTCCTTTCTTCCTTTCCCAGCCCCTCCCCAAGAGATACATTCAGTACTCCTTGTCCCTGGCTGTGGTCCCTGCCACCATGCTAATGTAACTCCTCTGAGGAAGAGATCATGGACTTGCAATAGAGAAGTCATGTTCCTGTGTGTCTCCAGTGCCTGGTTTGGGATGTCTTTTCTGTGGTAGAATTTGTGACACGCTTTTCAAAGCAATAGAGATGACAGTTTTGAATGCTTTTGTGAAATGGAATGGGTTGCCATGCTCACTGATCCCTCTCTGTCTCCGGGTGCTTTTCTGTGCAGGCTTATCTTCCTTGGCCTCTTTTGGCACATGCCCATCGTCTGTGAGTTGAGGTCCTGACTCTCTTCCTGTTGAACACAAGAGACACCTCTCTCTGAAGATGAACTCGAGCGCCCCCCTTCGGAACGCTGCCAATGTTACCTTGCCGTACACGCCTCCCTCGCAGGGAGGAGGCAATGGCACTTCTCTCCAGGAGGATCTTCGAGACTTCATCCACACGGCCACCTTGGTGACTTGCACTTTCCTGCTTGCCGTGGTCTTCTGTCTGGGCTCCTACGGCAACTTTATTGTCTTCTTGTCTTTCTTTGACCCCGCCTTCAGGAAGTTCAGAACCAACTTTGATTTCATGATCTTAAACCTGTCTTTCTGTGATCTCTTCATCTGCGGGATTACGGCTCCCATGTTCACTTTTGTGCTGTTCTTCAGCTCAGCCAGGAGCATCCCGGAAACATTCTGCTTCACCTTCCACCTTACCAGCTCAGGCTTCATCATCATGTCCCTCAAGATGGTGGCTGCGATCGCCCTGCACCGGCTCCGAATGGTGCTAGGGAAACAACCTAATTGCACGGCCTCCTTTTCCTGCATCTTGCTCCTCACCCTGCTTCTCTGGGCCACCAGTTTTACCCTTGCCACCTTGGCTACGTTGAGAACCAGTAAGTCTCACCTTTGTCTCCCCATGTCCAGTCTGATGGCCGGGGAAGGGAAAGCCATTCTGTCTCTGTATGTTGTTGACTTTACCTTCTGTGTTGCTGTGGTGTCTGTCTCTTACATCCTGATTGCTCAGACACTTCGGAAGAATGCTCAAGTCAAAAAGTGCCCCCCTGTGATCACAGTCGATGCTTCTAAACCACAGCCATTCGTGGGGGCAGCTGTGAAGGGAGGTGGAGATCCTACGCAGTGCACGGTGCCGGCTCTGTACCGGAACCAGAATTACAACAAGCTGCAGCACGCTCAGACTCATGGGTACACTAAGAATCCCAGCCAGATGCAGATTCCTTCAGCCAATCGACTCCAGCTGGTATCAGCCATCAACCTTTCTACTGCCAAGGACTCCAAAGCCGTGGTCACCTGTGTGATCATAGTGTTGTCTGTCCTGGCGTGCTGTCTTCCTCTGGGGATTTCCCTGCTCCAGGTGGTTCTGTCTGACAACGGGAGCTTCATCCTATACCAGTTTGAACTGTTCGGATTTACTCTGATATTTTTCAAGTCCGGATTAAATCCCTTTATATATTCTCGGAACAGTGCGGGGCTGAGACGAAAAGTGCTCTGGTGTCTCCAGAACATTGGCCTGGGCTTTCTCTGCTGCAAACAGAAGACGCGACTTCGAGCCGTGGGCAAAGGGAACCTTGAAATCAACAGAAACAAATCTTCCCATCACGAGACAAACTCCGCCTACATGCTGTCTCCAAAGCCACAGAAGAAATTTGTGGACCAGGCTTGCGGCCCAAGTCACTCAAAGGAAAGTGTGGCAAGTCCCAAAGTGTCCGCCGGACACCAGCACTGCGGCCAGAGCAGCTCAACCCCCATCAACACCCGGATTGAACCTTACTACAGCATCTATAACAGCAGCCCCTCCCAGGAGGAGAGCAGTCTGGGGAAGTTACAGACGGTCAACTCTTTCGGGTTTGCCAGTTCGTACATCGCCATGCACTACTACACAACGAACGACCTGATGCAGGAGTACGACAGCACATCGGCCAAACAGATTCCCATCCCCTCTGTCTAATCACAAGGCTGGGGAAGAGGGCGGTGCTTTTCCAAGACCGAACAAGCCTTGGGAAGATGTTGAGGCCAGTGGCAAAGCAAAACTTGAAGAGTTGGCTGGAGAGTTGACCGTTAGATTTTCTTTTGTCTGAGATGTTAGCATCTGGATTTGCTTCGTGGTTTCCTGACATTTTACGAGTTGATGTAAAAGCTTGTTTCCATTTTTGCCCCCATGTGTATCCCAGTCTTTTGTACTGAACTACTAAGAAGACGCCAGGAACAGTCCTGTGATGGCAGCCTTTCTTTCAGTCAGTGTTATGGGTCCTGAAATACGGATGGCCGCATCTTTAAAGGTGTCTGGAAAATGGTCTTTCCAACGTGTTGTTTTTATAAACATATGGAATTTGACTCTTTGAAGTACTGAAATAGAAAACAGGAGGCTTTTTTTTTTTGGTGGCAAGTTGATTTAAATAAAAAGCTTATTGTTAAGGCAGAGACTAGAAATGTGTTACTTGTACCGCTGTCCTTATAGGAAGCTCTCAGCCAGTGTGAGGCCCTCCCCTTATAACAACACAGAGTTGGAATTCTTGTCACTTCTTAACTGTACCACATTATTATTTTGTGTCAACTGAGTAGCTAGCTTTACAAAGTGTTTTTGATAGTTAGCAGTTAATTGCTGTTTCAGAAGGATCTTAACTGGGAATCCACTACGGAGCACTGTTCTGAGAGAGCAGACACGATGTGTCTCAGCAGTTTGTCTGTGGGAGGCAGTGTATCCATACATTTAATACTAACTACCCTTATTTAACAAGACGTAGGGATACACTTGTGGAAGGGGGGTGACGTAGGCTTTCCTTCTGTTCGAGGAGAATTTAGTAGAGAGCCACCTGACAGTGTTCATATAGATATTCAACAATAACCTTTCGGGTTTAAATATTGCTATGGAAAAAAATTTCAAGGTGATCTATTAATATTTTCAGATGGAGGTTTTCAAGTTTTTCCTTATTCTATTTGGGGCTGGAGATTGAGCCTAGGTCCTTGTGCATGTTAGGCAACTAGTCTATCACTGAAGTACACCCCTTACCCCAAACTAATTGTTTGATATTCTCTCATTAACCTTAAACTGGAAATGAGCAACAATGTTATTCCTACACCTCAGACTAGTTTTCTTAGGTCCACTGATGCCTAGGAGAACAACTGTGAAATCACATTTTTAATGTAAAAACATTTTGGTCATGCAGTTAGAATTTGAACTCACTAACTTTGGATTTTGGAATGCTAACTGTTAGACCCAAAACAGAGTATCTTTACAAACTGTTATATCCAACTAGTATTCTCAAAGCTCAGCAGTGCAAGGAACAGAAAGCCCTCAAATCAGAACACTCTCTCCCGGGCTCTGCCCAAACTCCAAGATGGCAGGAGGTGCTGAGAGGTGGAGTAGCTCCTGAGCCAGAGCAAGCCTAGCTAGAGCTAGCGGCTCCAGCCACAGTCAGCTCAGGGCTCACCTAGAGCTGGTCTGCCTACTTTCCCTTCTCTTCCCCCCTTTCTCTACTTTTCTACCAAGGTTTATAGCATATCCACTCTCCTTTATCTTGGTATCTAGATTCTCTTTGGAAATCACTCTTCCCTGTGGCAACTGTGTTTTATAGATTCAGCACAACATGGTTCCCACTAATATTCCCCTGAGGCAGATTCAGCAAAGAACTAAAATATCGAAGACATCTAATATCCTCTCCCAAAATCATTCGGAGAATTTTGGCAAATTACCAATTAGACGTTTTTCTTTTCTTTTCGGACAGGGTTTCTTTGTATAGCTTTGGCTGTCCTGGAATTAGCTCTTTAGACCAGGCTGGCCTGAACTTGGAGATCCTTCTGTCTCTGCCTCCCAAATGCTGAGATTAAAGGCTTGTTCCACCACCACCCAGCACCAATTAGACTTTTGTCTTAATTGAAAACTTAGCATTAAGTCCAATAAAGCAAGCAAATTTGTAATAATACCAATGCACACTTTTAAAGGTATATATCTTTGGGGCTTGGGAGATGGCTCAGAGGTTAAGACTCCTTGTTCTTCCAGGGCACCCAGGTTCAGTTCTCGGCACCAACACAGTGGTATAGCCACCTGTAATTCCAGTTCTCTGGGACCCGACCCCTTCTCCTGACTGCCATGGGCACCACATACATATGATGCACAGACGTAAATGCAGACAAAACACTCAAACACATTAAAATAAAATTAAATCTTAAAAATATTTTAAAAATTATGTTCATAAAAAAGGTATTATCTCTTTTGAGGGAGCAGGCGTTTAAAATGTGACTTAACAAAAGACTATAAAAATTACTACTTGTAAATTTTTAAATGCTAGGTTTCCTTGTGTGACCTTTATGTTTGAAATGATTTGACCAGCATGGGGCCCATTTTTAAGAAGTAAAACTTACACAACAAAGAAGACAGAGCATGCACACAGAGAGTGTTCAGTTTCTTTATGTTCATCAAGAAATTATTTAGTTTGCATGCAATAGGTAGTGGGCTAGATTCCTGGCTCCCCTCCTATCTTTAGAGAGATAAAACTTGTTTCTTCCTAAGCTCCATATGTCTGTCTGTACCAGTATAATGGTCATATTGACATAGGCAGACATATATAACTTGTCACCTCATAAGGGCTAAAAAATATTATAAGTCAAAGTAATGAGAATTCAGTTGAATATGATTAATTTGCAGGATACATTAATTTTTCTCTTGAAGCTTACTGTGTGCAAATTATATATCTCTAAAATGTTTTATAATAAGTGTTCTCATGTTAACCATTAGGCCAGATTTCTATTTCTGATGTTTTAATGTGCTTTTAAAATAAGTTTGGAAAATAAAAATACTGCAAATCCTAACTTTCGGGTCTTTTTTTGTTTGTTCTGATTTATTTATTTATTTATTATTTATTTATTTAGAGACAAGATCTTACTATATAGTATAGGCTAGCCTCAAACTCCTTCTCCTACTTCCTCATCTCTGAAGTAGCGTGTATGCTAGCACACGCAGCTGAAAAATCAAGTTTCCATATGGTGTCCTGTGCAGTCTTTCAACTGTGCAGCCTAGGCCGGTTTCAAGCGTCTAGATCCCATCTCAGCTCCCAAGTGCTGGGACTGCAGGTATGAGTGTGGTGGTTTGAATGAAACCGGCCCCTACGGGCTCATAGGGAACAGCACTACTAGTAGGTGCGGCCTTGTTGGAGTGGGTGTAGCCTTATTAGAAGAAGCATGTCACTAGGGGTGGGCTTTTCAGTTTCAAGCCAGTCCTAGTGGCCCACTGTCTCTTCCTGCTGCCTGCCAACCTGAATGTAAAACTCTCAATAGCTCTCCAGAATCATGTCTGCCTATGTGCCACCGTGCTTCCCACTATGATAGCAATGAACTAAACCTCTGAACCTGTAAGCAAGCCCCAATGAAATTTTCCTTTATAAGAGTTGCCATGGTCATGGTGTCTCTGTTCTCTTTCTCTCCTTCCCTGCCCCCACCCAGGTGTGTGTGTGTTGAGCACTGGGAATCGAATCCAGGACCTTGCACATGCTAGACAATGTTCTGCCACTTAGATTACCTTATATTTCTGTCCTGTCCCTTGAAAACCATTAGAGTATGACAGTGGTCACTTTTGCACAATGAATATGTTCAGCCTTAGATAAAAAAAAAGTTATCTTTGAGAAATAAAATAACTTGTTTGCCCATAGTTTGAAGCATCTCTGGTTATACTAAGAATAATTAACCCCAGAATCTTATTTACTAGACTGTTTAGGGATATTTAAACCTAATTCTTCATACATACTGGACAAGTGCTACCAGTGACCTACATCCTCAGCCATGGTTTATTACATTTACGTGTGTGTGTGTGTGTGTGTATGCCACAAAGTATGTGCAGAGGTCTGAGGACAACCTCAAAAGTTGTCTCTACCCCTACCATGTGGGTCTCAGGAATCAAACCCAGGAACTCATCCTTAAGAGCCAGTGACTTTAACCTCTGATCCCTTTTATAATCCCAGTCCCCCTTTTTATTTTCTGAGATGGTCTCACAAGGTTTCCCAAGCTGGCCTGGAACTTACTTTGTACCCTGGGAATATCTTGATTGGATCTCCCTCCCTTGCTCTCCTGATGTATCTGTGACATCGAACCTCACTACTAAGCTTGGCTTAACAACCTCTTTAAAATGAGATTAACCTGGAACAAATATAGAGTTTGTTTCTTTTTTATTTTTTTAGGACTTTTAGTTTCTCAACCAAGGTTTTATCTAATGGAAATTTAAACTGAGGAACTGTAGTAAGAAAAGGTTAGGCATCTACAAAGTGGTCTATGGTCAGGGCTGTATGACAAGGGCACAAGAACGATTCCACAGCAAGAATGATATATTCGTTACTTTCCTCTTTGTGCAGTCCAGGACTCAGCTGATAGATTCCTGCTGTCCACATTTAGGGTGGGTCTTCCCACCTCAGTCCAACCTAGCGATAGTCCCACAGACCTGCCCAGAGCTCTGTCTTTTCCATCATTTTAGTTCCGGTCAAGGTAACAACCAATTTCACCTGGGTCACCAAGCTACTGTTACTGCTAACTCCACAACAAGCCCTCTTGACCCCTATACAGCCAGTGACTGTCCAACCACCTTCTTGGTTGTCCCTAGTTCACACACACACACACCAAATACCCAGGAAGTGGCATTTCTGTGCATAAGAGGATTAGAAGTCATTCTCCATTCTTTTGTACCTTCCCCCGAAGGCAGGACTAGGAGAAGACTCCATCTGTGGTCTGGAGAGATGGTTCAGTCATTAAAGCCTAGGCTCACAACCTAAAAGTTAAGAAGATGCAATTTGGGTTCTGCTAATGAAATACAGACCCAGATTTCTCTGCATCGGCATCTTTGTGACCAGTCACTTGCTGTTTAGGTGTCAAGAGGGCTTATTACTGCCAGATAACGGCAACACTAGCACCATCATCCTCCCTCTTGAGACAATACAGCCGCTCAGTTAAAGACATTTCCTAGGGCTGGGGATATAGCTCACTGGTACAGCCCCTGACTATTACGTGCAGGGTCCTGGACTTGATGCCTACACACACACACACACACACACACACACACACACACGAGGGATGATGCAGAGTCAAGATGCCTACACACACACACACACACACACAGACACACACGAGGGATGATGTAGGGTCAATATGTCAAGCAGTATTCTCAGTGATATTCATTACTCTTCTAATTCAATTCCTACTGTGATATGAGCTAAAGTTTAAATTCTCCCCAACAAACATTTTATAAAAATAGTAAGGGAAATAGAGAGGGCAAACACATCTTCACAAAGAAGATAAAGAAAAAAGCATGGGTGCTATAAAAGATTGCTTGCTTCTATTTTTGTCAGGAAGCTGTGGCTGGTATTTCCCAACTCCTCATCTCTATCCCTGATAGCCTACTGATAGCCTAGCTAGTACAATGTACATAGTCTGAAAGGTTAGGGTTCTTTCCCAGTCCAGCATATCAATTAAAGAGGCAGGAAAGATAAAAAAAAAAAAAAAAAGGGAGATTTCATTCATGTACACATTGGGAAGAGGAAAATATTTTGGGTCCTATGAGCCTAGAGTAGATGTTAGAGTAGATCCGAAACTTAAAACTTGGAGATGGAGAAAGACTGCTGAAGGCTGGGTCTCAGTTTCTCCTCATGCCGACCTGGAAGTCACGCTATAACGCAGGATGAACTGGAATATACAACATCCTCCTGAACCCCAGGTTTACGGGACTGTGTCACCAGCTTGAGGTTTAAATAGAGAACGAACTGAGGCAGTGGGGAAGGAAGTCTGAATAAGTTGAGCAGTCCTTGTCGAGGTGACACTGGGTTAGTCACCATGTCACTATTTCTGCAAGGTGCCTGGAGATCAGGCTCATGGTTGAGGAGGTTCCCATGAGGAATCTCGTTTCTGCTTCAAAGTGTAGCCTTGATTTTATGGATAATTCTCTACCCCTCAGCCCCTTTTCTCTGAGGCTTTGCTCTTCCTGGAATACAGGTAAGTGCAGTCTTTGGACAGTGGCTTATCCTTATGACTTCCTTCCTAAGGGGATCAGATAAGTTAAGCATGCGTTGCTTTACCTGCTTCTCTTCCCGGTATGTGCGCTGTCTTCCTCTGCTGTTCACTATCATTCACTGTGAATTGCTTGTAAAAGAATTCATCATACTATAGTGGATGATGGCCCTGCGATGGTGGCGCACGCCTTTAATCCCAGCACTCGGGAGGCAGAGGCAGGCGGATCTCTGTGAGTTCAAGACCAGCCTGGTCTACAAGAGCTAGTTCCAGGACAGGTTCCAAAGCTACAGAGAAACCCTGTCTCGAAAAAAAAAACAAAAACAAAACAAACAAACAAATAAAGTGGGTGACTAAATCTTTGATTAGTTTATTTATTAGTTATTAGTTAGGTGGCTAGTGGCTAGTTCTTTATGATTTCCTGGGCCTGGTCTTTTGCTCTAAAACTGTGGTTGGAGTTGAATTGTCCCTCAGGCAAGAAGTTTATTAATGGGCCATTCAGATGGCTCAGCAGGTAACATACTTGCTGCCAAGCCTGATGACCTAAATACAACACTCTGGACCCACGCTGGAAGAAAACTCACTCCTGCAGGGTCTTCTGAACACCACACCCGTGTTGTCCTCTGCACACACACATCTGAGTGTGCACACACAGAAACACAGACAAAACCATGCATTTTTTCAAGTTTATTAATACTGTTGGTGGTGGCAGCACACCAGTGAGAGGGGCCGGAAATACAACTTCAGCCTCAGAAGACAAAGGGAGCTGTTATCATTGAAGGCCTTTAGGGGAAGAAAAGAGACAAGCCTAACTAGACTTAGTGTGTGGTTTTTGCTCCATGACCCGGGAAGTGGATTGGGGCACATGTGGCTCCATGACCCAGGAAGTGGATTGGGGCACATGTGACATGCTTTATGATAAGGATTGTTCTTTCTCTGGATTGGGAAGTAGGTGTAACCCATGAAATGCCTTCACCGCTGGGTGGCATCAGAGGACGAGATGTGTTCTTATCAGCCCTTCCTGCAGTGGGCCTCCTTACCTGGAGGCCAGTTTCTCTGTCTATACGATATGGCATTTTGCTTAAAAAGATGAATCAGAAATGGCATTATGAAAGGAGGATGCAGGGGTGCCAAGGGACTCGTAAATGTCGAAGCCATCCTGGATTGTTTTTGCTGACTCAGGGCATTGTTCGATAGGAAGCTCTTAGTATGGTGGTGGGTAGTTAGGAGGTGCTCTTTGGTTCCGAGGCTGGTATCTAAAGTCACATATTTAGATTATTGCCTTTCTAGTATGACTTCACAATGACCCAGTTTGACCTAACTGCTTCCTTTGGAATTTTATCTCCTAATATAGACACACAGTGCACAAGGGCTAACAATGTATTTGTGAGAACATAGTTCAGGCCATGTAGTTATCTGTAATGACTATTTATTATATTACTAATTAATATAACTGTCTTCCCACAAGAATAAAGCTCCATTAGGAACATCCCTCATACTTGTGAGCTCTTGGCTCTAGAGGGTCTGTGTTTGTTTTAAGATATAATTGCATATTTAAGTTCAGACTAGCCTTGAACTTACTGGGTAGGCCACGGTGGCCTCAAACTCTTGCAGTCTTCCTGCCTTGGTATTCTCAATGTTGGGATTATAGGTATGCGCCATTATGCGTGGTGGGAAACAACTTTTGAATAAATTAGTCAACTAATCAGTAACTGAATGGAACGATGCATGGCAGTCTATGTAGCTACTGCATCTTGCCAGTGCCTTTTGTTTTCTCTATTTACCTGGCCACTGGTTTTGATTTCAGCTGACAAGGGCTACAGCAT